TTACATATGCTCTTTGAATGTAAATGATATTGTAAATTGACATTTTAGTTTGCAGCAATAATAATTATTTTTATTTATTTTTTTCAATTAAAATTTAATTTAATATTAGCTTTATACAAATAGAGAATATTTGTTAAACCGTTTCCAGATAGGCATCCCACAGAGACATTCCCTACAAACATCTCTCACAGCGGGCGTCCCACCCATCAGTGGCATTGCAAGCATAACTGGGGCCCGTGGCAAAATACCTTTTCGGCGCCCCCCCCTCCCAAAAAAAACACAGTGATATGATGAAAATCTTGTTTGGAGACCATATGGCGCCCCTCTGCGAGCGGCGCCCGGGGCATCATACACCCCCTTGCCCCACCCTCGCTACGCCACTGCCACCCATGCATCGCTGGAGAATGCACTGGGTGATGTGTAATGCAGTTTAAGCTGAAAAATTTTTGAAAACCACTAGATTGTGTCCTGTGTCCATTACTTTTGAACTGAATATGGTTTTAAGATCCTGACCTTCAGTTTGACCACATTCTGCATAAGTTTGGTGTCAGTTGTTGAGGGGAGAAGGCAAAGCATAATGTAAACAAAACAGAGTCCACCTCTTTAAATTCCCACATGATATAAACTTTTATGTTTCTGATATCCCTTTGAATCCTTTTTTAATCGTTCTTTTGCTACCATGTAGGGGCTTTTAGGGTTAGTATGTGGGATATTGTTATGCTTTCCATTGCTTTTAACTCTTATATTTCACGTACTTCACTTTTTATTTTGGAAAGCCTCGACTTGATGAGCAAGTGTTATTTAGCAGAACGATATACTCGCATGGTAAATGAGCCAATTAGCAATGTGGATGAGAGTGATGATTCCTTTTCTAAAGAGTTAGAGGGTGATATTTCGAAGGATGCTGATACGAATATTTTGTCACAGACCGAGTGCCTGCCTTTCCCTTTCCATGAAAGATTTTGTTATTTCTTGTATTTTTTTATTAATTTTAAAGTTTATTCATGCATTGTGTCAATTAAAACTTCAGAATAATTTGAATAGCGCATATGATAATTATGTCTCAAAGTAAGCAATTTTTTTTTACATATTCTCATGTAAAGTAGAGTTAAAGGGTGATATTTCGAAGGATGCAGATACGAATATTTTGTCACAGACCGAGTGCCTGCCTTTCCCTTTCCATGAAAGATTTTGTTACTTCTTGTATTTTTTTATTAATTTTAAAGTTTATTCATGCATTGTGTCAATTAAAACTTCAGAATAATTTGAATAGCGCATATGATAATTATGTCTCAAAGTAAGCAATTTGTTTTTACATATTCTCATGTAAAGTAAAGGAAAAATATTATTAAATGCTATTTTTAATATATATGGCAGCTCAAATATTAATTTAAAATAGTACTAAAAATTATGATATTGGAACTTTTTTGTGTGTGAATTTTTTTCAATAGTTAGGCTTAGCAACACAAAGCCTCCATCCCGAGAGACGAATTCCTTTCGACTCCCATCCATCCTGAAAGAACATCTTAAACAAAGGCGTGCCATCTCAAAAGGGTTAATTTACCAAGTAATGAGGTGGACGCCATATCATTTTTTCAAGAAAGAGGTCTTTTACCTGACAAACGAGTGTACAAAAATGGCCACAATATGGAACTTTATGTTAATGGGAAAACCATTTGGTGGTGCAACATTAAAAATTGCGAAAAGAAGGACCTCCATGTATGAAATTGGTTCATTGGTTTTCATTCATTGGTTTCCAGAATATTGTTAATCACTGCTATTAGATTTATGTACTTTTGAGCAGAGGAGATGACATTCAAGAAATGGTGTAACAAACAGCTTAATATGTGTGTAAGAGCTGCATTTGACTGGAACAATTGCAAGCTACAAAATAATCATGATAAGGATTTTTAAAAAAATTCTCAGGAAATTACATGCGAGTATTATTGTTATTATTATATATTCTGCTGTTTATTTTCACATTTGCTCTTCATGAGTTTGGAGAAATTATAATTGAGATCTTGAAGCAAATCTAAAAATCGCCAAATATTGCTGGGGGCTACATAACAAAGTACCAAATTTTTTAGAATTTTAGACATCTCCCAAAATCAAGCAAATTAGAGATTTGCAAAGCCTATATGTATGATACTGACAAAGTACGCATAGAACACTGTCGCCAAGCTGTGTGATTTAACTCCAATAATATATAAACATTATGTCACAATGCAGTTATAGGATCTTCAGATTGGTTTTATGTAAATCCAATCAATTCCCAATGAATGATTTAATTTTTTGTAAAGAACAATACTAACTAATATGTTATTTTTCACATGTTTCAATTTATATTTTTATACTTGGATTTTGAAAAAATGATTAAAATTTGGACCTACCTTCTGTGGAACAGCAAGCTATAGATTATTTTTTAACAATATGGGATTCCGGTATCAAGAACAGTGTGTGTTAATGGGCATGATATGTGACTTTATTTAATAATGGACAAACAATTATGATGCTATGTGAAAAAGAATGATAAATAATTTAAGTATTTTATATGCTATATCCATCTGTTAATTATATAACCAAATTTAAAATGATCTGTTCCTTTAATCTGCCGGAATACTTGACACTAGTTTGAAAACATTACTGCCAAATTTTATGATCTGACAGGATTTCATTCAAATAAGACTGCATTACTTTATATGTTTAAGGCATACATATGTTTAAGGCTACAAAATACATTGTCTTTTATGTTTCAAATGCATTTTTTTAATGAAATCTTGCATAAATTTTAAGCACAGACTTTTGATATGGGTCAGTAAAGTTGAAATTTAACATGCCACTTGTAGCAGATAAGTTAATACCCCAACTGCTGATGCTTAAGCAGAAGGAGTATTGTGTCACAATGTGCAAGATCTTTGTAATTGTGCCAAGGACAACCCATCATTCAAGGTTATAATTATCATCAGTGAAGAGATCCAGCATGATTTGCATAAAGTTACAGATTTGCTTAAGCATAATGACTTCATGGTTGCATTCCAGCTGTGGCAGGAATCATAGGATCAGTGCAATGCTATACAAGGTGAATACAGTACAAAGTCTGCAATACCGACGTCCATAATCCGGACCTCAAAGCTACAAACTTTATGCGCATATGCGCTTATTATTTTTTGCAGACTGTTGGAACAATTTTATAAAAATTAAGCTTGAACTTTCGATTAAGTCAAAAAGAGTTCCAATTCTGAAACTGCCAAAGGATCTACAAAGCGAAAGCCTGCTTCGATGTCCATTAAACAAAAAGTGGAATTGCTGCAAAAAATGGATAAAGGCCTATCCGTCTAATAAAGTAAACAAATAAATATTAAGCTTTTTTTTTTGTTGTTGTTGTTTTGTAAATTAATTGTTCTTTTTTTTAATAAATTACGATTTCATATTTTTAACTGTATAATTTCTGCATGCCATCTTACCAGAATTAAATTGACGATCTATAATCCAGAAAAAACCCTAATCCGGAATCGGCAAAGTTCCGACGAGTCCGGATTACAGACTTTGTACTGTATTTTGAAGGAGATGGTGTTCAAACTTAAATCAATAACTGAATTTTTTTGTAAACAAAGTTAGTTCAAAACTTCTTTCTGCACCCTTATAATTTCTTTTTCATAACAAAATGAAAAAGTTGATTAAAAAATATTTGCAATAATGTTGTATGTTAATACAGAACTTTACTTTGAAAATATACAAATATGTAACATTAAGGCTAAAAAAAGCCTACAAAATACTTCCAGATTGTAACTTGCTATACTGATGGCAAGGTTGGTCTCGCATTTGTTGTCTTCAAAAATGGTCTTGAATTTGAGCACTTTCAATTTAGAATCAGAGATGAATGTACCGTTTTCATAGCTGAACTTTTGTGCTTAAACTTCGCCGTCAAATGGGTCTCTAAACAAAACAGTGCTGTTTCAGACTATCTCATTTGTACTGATTCCCTTTCATCCTTGGAGATCTTAAAATGTATTTCTTCTTCTAATAATATCGTTATCGAGATTAAAAAAGAACTGAAAAATCTAAAGGATAAAAATATTTCGGTTTCATTTTCATTTGTTCGTGGTCATACAGGTGTTTTTGGGAATGAACGAGCCGATTTCCTTGCTAAGACTGCGACTAAGCGGGAAATTGACACTTTTGTCAATATCCCTAATTCCTTCTATAAGAAGGTCATGTATGAAAGCATTGTGGAGTCGTGGAATCACGAATTCATTAATTCAAATAAAGGGAGTTTAACTAGGAGATATTTCCCTTCTATTAAAATGAGATTGTCGTGTCATCATTTCTTTACAAATTACAAATTAACCCAGTTTCTTACTGGACATGGGAATTTTAAAAGTTATTTGAACAGATTTAAGTTGAGTCCTGAGTCTGTCTGTGACTGTGGCCTCGGCAGCGAGGAGAATGTAGAACATGTGCTTCTTCTATGTCCTAAATATGAGAGCGAAAGAAAAGTCTTGAAACTGGGACTGAAAAATTTTAATATTAACTGGCCTCCAGAGTTTTACCAATTTATTTCCGAGAGAAGTGCTTTTAACATTTTTTGTCAATTCATTGTAAAACTTTGTGACCATCCTTTATTTTATTTCAATTTTCTCTTGTTTATTTTGTATTGTGTTTCATACTTACTTCTGTAAGCCCCATGTGATACTTTGTGGTACATGGGGAACTTGTTGAGTTTCTTTTAATAATAAAAAAAAAAAAAATAAATAAAAAATAAAAAAATACTTCCAGATAAAAATAAGAGAAAACAATATATAAGAAAGTAAAGCTACTAAGTTACTAAGTCAAAATATAAAACGGGAAAAATTACCTCCCATGAGAGAAACTGCACAAACACGCAAAGATGAACAATTGATTAAGATTTAACCCTTTTGCACATTTAATATACACTAATGGCAATAAAAAACATACATATATATAAAAAAAAAATTCAGAAAAGTATATATGTAACCTACTTGCAAAAATTTACGATAATCTTCAGACTGTAAGCCACCTTCAGCCATTCTTGATCTTTCCTCTTCATCAATCTGGCTTGCTAATGTTGCCAATTCAACGGCAGTAAAATAATGTGCTTGAAGAAGGGCATTTAAACAATGCTGAGCACACAATGAACCCTCTTGCTGTAAAAAATGCAAGAAAAATTATGCATTTATTCCAAAGTACATCAAATACTTTGACAAATTTCAAATATTGTTGCATATAATATTAAGAACTTTTTACCACTGTTACAAACATAACATATTGTTGCATGCATATGGGTTCATAATAGATTGAAGGCACACACGTCCAATGATAGGTTGACAAAATTTATTTTATCAAAGCAAACACAACTTTCACCAAAAAAGATAGTTGTACAACTCTTCACAGAATCAAAGAGTACAATCAGTGTCACCCTTCAAACTACTAAGAATGTACTACAACTACTGAGGGCAAATAACTCAAGACTGAAGCCTTATATAGTTTTCCCTCGGCTGCTGATATTTCTAGTACTTTCTGCTTCTCGAAATTACTGGAAGGCATATGAGGGCCAGATACGGCTACAGCTAATATAGTGATCAATTACATTTATTCAATTACAATACCTATTACAGTGATATTAACCAAAATGTCATCAAATGGTTTTAATGTGTGTATGCTCTTTCTGACAGGTCCCGAAGCTGCTTGAAGACAAAATATAGAATTGAATACAGTCAAAAGTCGTTAATCCGGACTCGTCGGGACTTCGGCGATTCCGGATTATAGATCATAAGTTTAAATCTGCTAAGATGGCATTCAGAAATTATAAAATTAAAAATATGAAACCGTAATTTATGAAATAAGAACAATTATGATCTAAAGGGTATCAAAATTTACAAAAAAAAGCTTAATATTTATTTGTTTACTTTATTAAACATTTCTTTCAATGTAAGTTGTTTAAGTTGCTTCGTTTTTTATGTGATAATACATTCTCTTTAATTCTATAAACAGACATAATTTCTTGTTCAGTTACAAAGTTCCGCTGTTCAGGTCCTATAATTGCTGTGTCAAGAATACCGACTAATTTGTCAATCGAAATTTTTTCGTTTTCAATAACCTCTGTCACTTTCTTCGCTATCGGAAGCGAATTATAATGACGAGGAATTTGATTTAAATCATATCAAAGACGGAGTACATCGAGATGAAATATTACATTTAGTAAGGAATTCTAAGCAAAAATAAAATAAAAACATCTGTCCTGATGATAAGGATAGTGCTGACAGATCCACTTCCAATTCATTGCGCACCGCGGCGCACAAATCATCGCGCACAAAATCTCTCTTTTTGACAGGTTGTCTAGATTTGGTACAGGCTTGAAATGAATAGAAATGCTATCATCTGTTCTATCCTATAGAATACTTAAGACTGAAATCTGACTCAGACTGAAATTACAGATTACAATTATCCTTCCTCGAAATTTTATTAACGTCGTTTATAGGACTGAATGACCACATCCGTAGGTCCATCTTAGATTCTGCCAAAATCTCAATTGATTTGTCCATAAAATACTTCAACTCTTCTTCTGTGTGAAGAGACGTGACACAATTATCGACATTAAAAGAATTTCAAAGCTTTTCTGCTACACAACTTCGCTCGGTAGACATTCGAGACAAATGGAAGGAAATGACAGCACCTAAAAGATACAGGCTGGATCTAACACACAAAACTACCCTTGTGTGGCAATATGCCTTTATGAGACCATCTTTTTTCCAGCAAAAGAACCTTAAAAAATCTCTATCCTCTTTTCCAAGTTCAATTTGTAAGAATGCACATCTTATATCCGCATTAACTCCTATGCGCTTCTCTCTGAATCTTAATAAGGCAGGTATTTCCTCAATCAAATTCTGTCCCTTTACCAAACAGTCATTAAGAGAAGGTGCTTGTTTAGATTTACATGATGCATCAAATCCCGGCCATACCTTGGCGGTAATACTATCCAGTTTAATGACAGGATGATGCAGCAGATAATGTCCTTTAGACTTAAGATTGTACACTGGAACTTCCTTTATCACGCCTTCAGCAAGCCATTTCCTAAAAACCTTATCGTACTCTTCAAATATATTCAAAGATTTAAGTCTTTGTGTTGTGCTGAGAAGCCTTTTTCCCGCAATATCATGGTTGGATGGTAAATCTGTGTTATGTTCTAACCAGGGTAGATCAATACAGTATCTTCCCTCTTCATTTTTACCTAAGGCGCCTAAAAGTGTTCCCAAGCAATATCTTCTTCTGCTTTCTTTGTAGAATTACTGGTGGAATCTGAAATTCCTATTGTCTTTAAATTCCAAAGATCAGATACGTTTAGGTCACGAAACGTCAGACTTGCATTGAGTAGATATACCTCTACCTTGTGGTAAGTCGACCACAGACAGTCCCTCCTAATATAGTGTCAACTGCAGTCAAACCTCTGTCAAGCTATTTGACTCCGTCGAGCTGTCTGACTCTGTAAGAATTGTACCGTAAATGTCGCTGCCGACTAGCATCTCTATCTTCAGGCAGTGGCGTAGCTAGAGTGTGGCAAGGGGGGACATCTGTCCCCGTGCACAACATCCAAGGGGCACCAAATTGATGCTACAAAATTTTTTAATGAAATGTTTTCCATTCTTGGCACACAGAAAGGAGTGCAAATTTTTCAGTTGTCCCCGGGCGCTGCTACGCCCGTCTTTGGGCAACCTGTTCCTATGTCTGACAGCCATATCTTTTTACACTTAAGTTCTTTTAAAATAGAAAAGTTATTTAATAAAGAAGTTATTTACCACATACAGCTTCTGATCCAAAAACACAAATTTCATTCCTTTTCTCATATAAGTACTGAGAGAGCGTAGCTTGACCCAATACTTTTTATGTACATTCGGTTCAATTTTAACCCCTCCAAAAAGTGTGTGAACCACAGTTTCCTCTGCAATGGGAATTAGTCCTTATTCCTGCACTGTAAACTTCAAAATGTATGATTTTTGTGATCTGCAATCGAGAAACGTTCATACTTCTCTCGTGCCTGATTTTCCTAATACATTGACTTTAATTGTCATGAGAATTACCTCCGTGGAACACATCTGTCCTTCCATAGTTGCATGAACAGTGTCTGGCTCTGTTACCTTTTCCTGCCTTTCCTGTGTCTGCAGATCTAGGCAGAGAGAAATTGTGTGAGCCTTACCACACACATAGCAAAAGTACAAACTGTTTACACGACTTAACAACATGTCCAGGCAAAAGGCACTTTAGGCAACATCTTTTAAGCCCAATTTTATTCCTTTTCTCATCTAATGACAGAAAGGATGCTTTGCAATGGTCCTTACTATCATGCAGTTTATCACAAAAAATACAGCTATTATCTTTCGTCGTAAGGAAACCTGCTGCCATAGGGACATTCGTTAACTGTTTCGATTTACAGTTGCCTTTTAAATCCCTTTTCAATTTATTGCAATACTTGTATTTTTGCCTAAAAATTTCAAATCCACCCCGTGCTAATTTAAGTCTTTCCTCCGCTTCCACTTCACATCTTAAAAATTTCATCAAATTAGTTTGGCAAGAAATATTCTGACTCTGGTTTACTTCTCCAAAAAGCGGGCTTCTTTGCCAGGCTCTGAGGACTTCCTCCGAGAGGCTTGAAATCATAGAATTCAAAATCTGCTTGTTAAGTTCCTCAATACCTTTCTGTAACATTTGCAGCTTTGTAAATTTATCTTTAATTATACCTGCTGAAAAATCATCCTTACAAATTTCCTTTTTCAAACAGTCTTGGTAAAGGAAGAATGCAGTCCCCCACGTTTTGCAGTTAAAGGATCCATAATAAAACAACCAATTAAACCAGCTTTAATTCACAAAATACCATTAAAAAATAAATCTAACAGCCAACTGAGGGCGTATATGAGAGTAGTTCCAAAATTACCACTACATGGACAAAACCATTTCAACATTTAAGAGAACTCACTTTATAAACCACTTGAGGAAGGGGGGAAATTATGTGAATATTAAAAAAAAATTCAGAACCTTGGGCTAAAAAGCTAGGAAGAACAATACACAAGGAAGAAAATTTGAGAGGTAAATAAAGGAAAGAACGGATTTATTTTCTAATTCATCTTTTTGTAATGTTGATTTACAGATCCATCCAAAATTTCACTAACTACATCATAATACAAAAAAGTCAGATTTATTAACCCTTTGAAGAGCGGTATATAAAATAATTTAAATTGTGGTAAAATTTTGCATGAACTATAACTTATGGATCCTAAGGACACAAAATTGAGACTTTTGAGAGAAAAAAAATCTAGAGCGAAATCCTAAATTTTGAAAGCCGGTATATCCTCCAAGATTTTTTTTCCAGGTACGTGCCAATTGTTAATTTTTGTATTTTAAATTAATTTTGCATACTTTTGATGTGCATCTGTAGAGATGGGTGCTTGAATATAGTTATGTAAGTTTGAAGACAAAAACTTTTAAAATTTCGGTAGAAATTTAAAATTTTAAAAATAAAATTTATGTTTTTATGCACTTTGATGATGCAACCCAGCTGAACCCAGCTTTTGAACTTGATTTAAATTCAATATTATTATTTTATAAAAAAATTAGTAACTATGACACTGCATGCGTAAATCATATCATGCTGTAACTGAACTAGTATAATATTACAAGGAGATATAACAGCCAAGATTTTTTAAAATTAAAAAATGTAACACTAGGACTCAGATGAGAAAGTATGTTGCATTTTTAAGTCATATTTTATGCTTTAGGTAATATGTAATAAAACAATGGTTCATGCTATGATACCAAGAATCGCCCCCCTTCCCCGCACACACACTAACTAGATTAACGAGGACCGTAAGGGCATCTTCTTTATTTTTTGTAAATATAGGTTGTAATATATATTTTTGTTCAGGAAGAAACGCTGTTAAATAACTTTACTATTACATACAACTGAAAGCTCTTATTTCGATTTTCAACCCCTCTGGCCTCCTAAGGGCTCCTTTTGAACTTTTGGATAAATTCTAGTTTGCATCTAAAATGGGCCTTAGAAATATTTTCCCTCATTTCACCAACTGTGAAATTTATTTCAAAAACAACCTAACCCTAAATTTTTCTTATGTTCCCTAGTCTTTCATCTGAAATTAACAAAGACAATAAGAATAAAAGAAAGCTTTCAAATCAGCAATTTTTGTGATTACACTTCAGTGGATGGACCTTCAGTGCACTTTTATTTCCCGTATTTTTAAGTGAGCTTTCTCTTTGTGTGATCTTATCACACCACACAAAAGGAAGAAGGCGTGACTCCGGAATGACAGATCAGTTGTCAATCACCTACTTTCATTTTCATTGATCCTAGGATTTTCGAAAACACAAAGCAAAGGGTATCTTTTGAGGGCTAACATGCCACATAACAATTGTGTAAAATTTGTTGTATAAAATTGTGTAAATGCGACAATACAATTGTGTAAAATTTTGACCCCAGATGGCAATTTTGAAATCAATTGAGTCTTTCTCTTGGGAAAGGGAAAAGTGCTGAAGTTAAGATTTTAGCTAAATAGAGACGAATGAAACTTGTGCAGAGTAAAAAAAGAAACAAATGTACTTGTATTCAGTCCTAGTGAAGAGTCAGTAGACTCCCCATCCCTTCAAGAACATAATACTGAATCCTAAACAACTTGTAAATTAATCATAAACAAATTATTACATCATAAACTATTTTAATGTAAAGAAATGCTGTCATCTTTCACAGTAGAGAAGAAGAAGCCTGGTGCTGCCATCTATCGGCAAGGTACCCTCAGTAGGGGCGCCGGTATATATTATATACCGGTATTAAAAACGTATACATAATCTTTTAATTATCAGTTTTGATTGAAATGCAGTAAATATAAAATGTTCAGCATGTGTATGTCATATATTTACAGATTTTGAATTTTTTCTTTCCCTCCAATAAAATTTATCAGTCTTCAAACATGATACCTTGGAACAAGGTATATTAATTTAATAACTGCAAAATATTGAGCATTCATAGGGTGGTGCTGCCATTTAGAATTGAAAGGAAACACTAGAAACTTACGATTATAGCTTTTGGCATAGAGAAATTATAATTTTTTCCCGAGGTTAACAGTATATTAATTGAAAACTTTATTTCAGAATAACTATTCTAAACAGCATAAAACTGTATGTGAGATTTCAATTAATATACTGTTCTTGAGGTAAACAGTATATTAATTGAAATCTCACATATAGTTTTATGCTGTTTAGAATAGTTATTCTGAAAACACTGCTAGTGGAAAGATGTCAGACATCAGAGTCAATAGGATAAAATAAAGTTTAGATTTTACACCACAACCAATATTCATTCAATATAAAATTGAATTTCAAGCAGATAAACTTATGTCTATAAATACATTTTTTCTTCAGCTCTTATATCATCCTGACATTTCTTTTTAAAGAATATATACCATGATAAGATTATACGGCACATTTCTAATGTCTGACATTGATAACGATTCCTTTATTTCAGGTTTCCTACCATTTCGAATAGTGTTTCTTAAACTATGGGTCGCGACCTCAAATGGGGCCGCAAATCGAAATTCTGGGGGTCAAAAATTCAGTTTAATAGCTGAATTTAAAGAAACTGCACTGATAAGACTTTTAAAGAAATTACATAAACTGACATTAATGAGATTAGACTTAAAAAAACATTACATTAACTGGTATTAATGAAATTTGTAAAACTATCTTGCGATTCAAACCTAAAACTTGTGTTTTCACAAAAATCCTTGACGAATTCTGGATCGGAGTTAGAACTAGATTTCTCAGAATTTCTGAAATGGCATTAAATGTTCTCCTCTCATTCAGCACCACATAATTTTATGAAACTACTTTTTCAGCTTTAAAGTTAATTAAAAACCAAATACTGTTCAATGTTGAAATATGCTGAAGATACTTTGATGTCCAGCAGTATCAAATATAGCCCCACCATTTAATTTGTTATGCAGCAGAAAACTTATCCGTCTTATTAGAATTTTCTTTAATTTTTGTTTGCTTATAATAAATCTTAAAATACTTGTTTAGCAAAGAAATAAATGATTTAGGAGAGGATATTTATTTTTATATCTCTATTTTATATTTAATAGGTACTTTTCCGTTTTGTCAGCGCTACCAATGAAGTCGCCAATAATGATACAATTGATGCCAAACGGAATATCCTCACTGGCAATCTTTTATGCCTGATTTTTAAAACAAGTCACAGCCATTTCTTGTCAGATTGATTGTTTCTTTCAATACTGGCATGCAATCACATAGAATTTTTATCAGATAGTACAATTTTATGCCCTAAGGCTATTCGCGGTAATTAAGTCAATTAAAATGCAATCACACCGCTCACCCGAAGGCCAAAAATATAGAAAAGGCAAAGTCAAGGGTTAACTTCAGCAATTCGAATGAGAATACACTAGCAAAGTAAAGCACTGCAGTTTTACATAATTTCTGAATAAGCTATTCATACGATTCAACTTAATGTAGATAATTACTGAGAGAATTAGATTTTTGTAGCGCAGTTTAAGTGAGATGAGATCACTTGGGGTCACCTGATATGAATCAGAGGATCAGCTTGTTGAACCATGAAAGCATAATAAATTAAATTAATGTCTTTTTACAAATTTATTGTCTTTATTTATTGGCTTTTTACAAAATTTTAAACGATATTTAAAATGTTTATGCCTTCAAAATAAAAAATTCTTAGAACTAACATTTGTTAACATATTTTATGTGAATACTGTATGTTGTTGCCAATAAAGTTTACTAGGTGAAATTTGCGCCGGCGAAACGGAAAAGTATCATTTAATATCTGGGGTCGCGAAATAAATCTCAGTGATCAAAAGGAATCGCGATTGAAAAAAACGAAATCTTGATTTAGAATATTCCGAATATAAAAAAAACACAAAAGATGCGCTAATTACTGCATTCCATGTAACAAAAAGACATTTATTTTAATAATGTGTCACACACAATCCTTTGCAAATTATAGGAAATTGTGTGACAAGTATATTGAATTCAGTTTTAAGTAATAACTGTCACCGTTAGCATTAAATGAAAGTTTAAAACCTACTTTTTCATGAAAAATCTCCTCCATCGATGGAACGGCGTTTCAGACTGTGAAAAATATATCTCAAATGTCATCTGCAATTAAAATCCAGTCAAATTCATTCGATCGGCCACCCATTACGGATATAAACATTACGATTTCTTTGTTGCCAAATATAAATAGAATTTTGCTTTCGAAAGATCGGTTATGACAACTTTAGAACACGTTGCCCGAATTTGGTGCTCAGGAAGTGAAGCTCAGGAATGAGGTAATATGGGAAAATATTCATGCTACCATCACCAGCAATGCTTCAGATTGGAACTTCTCTCCGTGGAATGGTGTTGCCTAGGCTGACACTTTACCCCCAAATCGAACATAGTTGAAAGTTTCGAAATACTTGAGATTCGAAATACTTATTTGAGATGTAGTAATTTTTTTTTTTATTTCAATTTTTTTAGATTCACGGAGAATAAATTCAGGCCTAAAAGCTGTCTTACTGAATCTATGTTGTCAAGAATCAATGAATCTCAAGGGGTGAACTAATACATAAGATAATACACAGAAGATATAAATATAAATATACATAAATAAAAACAAAGTAAATATGAAAATTCAGATTTCCATGATTACATTTGGATTGAGAATCGACATTGGCCTTTTCTTATTACTATCGTTCTTATAATCGTAATTATAAATTCTCAGTTCAGAGTTACTTATAGTGCGTAAACGAATGTAAAACTCAAGTGGTAATAAAAACTTAATATTGAGAAATATCTCATAAGCAGATGTGAAGCCTGCTGTGAGACTTTCCCCTATAAAAGCAAAAATAAATCACTTTCGCTTTCCAAATTTATTAACGAATAATAAATACAATATTTATTACTTAGACTTAAATCGTCAAGAAATATTTCACAAAAAAAAAAAAAAAATTAATAAGGCTACCGCGAATAAAAAGTTTCGATAACTCATTAACAATTAAAGTACAAAATCTGAAATATTTGTACCAATTCACCTTTCATTTTTTGGTGAGAATATAAAAAAAATGAAGTAAGGAAAATTCTAGGACAGTTACATATAACTGGATAGATGGACTTTTCTCACAGTCCGAGTAGCATAAATAATCTTGGATACTCTAATTGTTATATATCGACCATAATACAGTGGAAACTCGATCTGTTTAATCCCATACAGAGACTGTTGATCTTTTTAATTTACTATAATGTACAGTCGGTCACAAAAGTATTCGAACACCGGTACCCTATCAGAAAATGACAAGATGGCTTTTTTTTTCTCTTTCTCTCTGTGTGTCGTGTTATTCCATCCTAGGTTTTCTTCCCCCCCCCCATCTTGGAAAAAACTGGAAAAAATTGGTCACGATCTCTTTTTGAATGGGGAGATGCCATTTTGAGAAAAAGCTGACGACCCTATCTTGGAGAATGAACATGACCGCTCTACACACCCTTTCTCTCTCTCTCTCTCTCTCTTTGAATTGGGAAGCCATTTTGGGAAAAAGCAGACGACCCTATCTTGGAGAATGGAAATGAACGCCTCTCCCTCTCTCTTTGAAATGGGAAGCCATTTTGGGACCCTCTATTCTTGGGGAGGGAGAAAACTGAAGTCTGCACTTCGCTGTCTCTGAAAAGCGGACCCTCTTCTTCTGATCTTGAAGAACTGGAAATGAACGCTCTACACGATCTCTCTTTGAATTCAGAAGGTATTTTGGGACCTTCTAATGTTGGAAAACTGAAATGGACGCTCTACTTCTTTCTCTCTCTCTCTCTCTCTTTGAGATGAGTAGCCATTTTGGAGGATTCTCCACCACCATCCTAACCTTGGAAAACTGAAATGAACGCTCTACACCTCTCTCTCTCTCTCTCTCTCTTTCTCTGAAATGGGTAGCCATTTGAAAACTCCCTAACTTTGGAAAAAAACAGAAATGAACGCTCTACACCATCTCTCTTTGAAAATGGGGGGGGTGTCATTTTGAGACCTCCCTCCCCTAAACTTGGAAAAAAAAACTGAAATGAACGCTCTACACTTTCTCTCTTTGGACATGGGTAGCCCTTTGGGGACCCTCTCCTCTTGGTAGGAAAAAAAAAGAACTGAAGTGAAGGCTCTACACAATCTCTCTTGGAATGGGATCCATATTTCGGGAAACGTGGATCACCTCATGCTGGAAAACTGAAGTGAACCACCAAGATTGGACTCTATATAATATTTTTTTTTAATTGACATCATGACCCTCCTCCCATTTGTTATTAAAAAAATTGTTTTTTTTTTTGTTTTGGTTTTTTATCCCATTTCCGATGTGATTTCAGAAATGCAATTCCATAACAGTTCAATTTCATTCGAGGTTAAATGATCTAAACAGTCTTTGACCCACCCATCCGTATGATTATTTTCTTCTCCTTCCTGTTGCACCAAATTTTGTAAGTCCATATAATCATTCCATACGGGAAGGGCTGGATCCTCACAAGGCTGTCTTGAAACACTTGGAGTCTCTTTGGGATGAGTGGAGGGATCTAGGATGTCTGGACCCGGCTGCGATTCTACCTCCATGATTTCTGGACCCGTTGGAACTTGTTTACCCGGCTGAAATTCTACCTCCATGATTTCTGGACCCGTTGGAACTTGTGAACCCGGCTGTGATTCTGCCTCCATGATTTCTGGACCTGTTGGAACTTGTGGACCCGGCTGACATTCTACCTCTACGATGTCGGGACTTTTTGAAGCTTGTGGACCCGTCTGACATTCTACCTCTACGATGTCGGGACAGGTTGGAGGAGAAGAAGAAGAAGAAGAAGAAGAGGATACTGGAAGAGGTTCTGTCTGTGAGGAGTCCGAAAGAGGTTGCCTGTTTGAACAAGTCGGGGAAGAAGAAGAAGAAGCTTCTGGATTCTGAAGCGGATCTTGCACGCCAGGTAGGTTCCGGTAAGTCGACCGTTTTTTAAGAGGTAATTTTTTTTCTTCCTCCTCATCTTCAATTGTGATGACTTCAATTTCATTCCGTTGCCGGGTCGATTTTGTTTCGGGCCATGACGACGGTTTGGTCCAGCTCCTCTTATCATCTAAGGAAGGGATGGGTAAAGGTGGCGGAGGGTTTTTTTCTTCTTCTTTTTCTTGAAACATCATCGGCGATTGGAAAGAAATCTCCTCTTTCAATTGTTTCCAAAGCGAGTACGAGCACCGATCGACGAGAAAGAGACTCTTCTGGGTTGTGACGATGAGATATTGCGTTTTCGGGGGAACGACATAGTTTTGAAAAGGTCTTAGAATATATTTCTTATATTTCATCCTGTCGCTGACTTTAAAACTTCTTTCCTTCAGATTGGGGGACGATGATTCGTAATAGGCGAGAGGAGCGGCTGTGGTTTGAACAATATGAACTTCGTCCTCAGCCGTCGTTCTCACTCCAAACGTAAAATATCGTTTCGTGAGAAAAATATTCTTCCACCGAAAACTCGTGCGCGGATCTGTATATCGCCGGTCTGTTTGAATGGGCCGTCTCAAAGCTCGATCCATCCGATTCCAAGAGAAGGGAGATTCCTCTTTCGTTTGTTGCGATTCGAATAAATTTCTGTATATATTCTGAACGAGCAGGTTGGAGGATTCGACATCTTGGTTGAAAGAAACGATCGCTTGATGAGGTGGTAAATGCGGAATAAATGTCGCACAATGACACGCCAAAAAAATTTTCAAGTTGGAGATTTGCTTTAGCGTCTTCAAATCCTCCCCGTTCGAAATCCGTTGAGTTGGAAAAACGTCTAATAGCGACATGGCTCCCAATGGAAAAGAAATGATCTCGCCCAGTACTCTCGCCTTTTTATATATCTATATAGACACACACAGACACACACATAGAGGCTCTATGACGTCCGTTTTATTTGTTTTTTTTTGTTTCTTTCTCTCTCTCTTCTTTCCAAGAAATCTTATCTCCATGACCTCTTTTTCTTTTCTTAAAAAGATGAATGTGTGTGGGAATGAGGAAGTGAAAGTAATAATTTAATAAACAAAAAATTATCCAACCATGACCTTTTTTTTTTCAAAGTCAACCTTTCCAATCCAAGGACGTCCAGAGATAGAGGAAGCAGGGAGAGAGGAGGAGGAGGGAAGGGAAGGTCACACTCTCTTTCTCTCTATAAATAAAAGGGGAGAGCCCCAAAGTCGTATTTTTGTCCAAGTGGATCATGAGGAGGCATCCCCAGCTCACTACGTGTATTCCTTTCAAATATAAATATGTTGATCTTTCCTTTTATATCATCCAAGGAGTCGTTTACCTGAAAGCCTCCGATTTTTCAAAATGTGCGGGTTATTATACCGTGGGGAGTTATCAAAAGATGCGGGACGAATTTTTGTCCGACGAAAACGTGTTGATGGCTCGTGACATTCCACCTTTGGATGCACAAATTTTGTTAATGAAACGAGCCAAATATTTTTACACGTCCCACTTTCTAACCGTCTCGCAAATGAATAGGATTATGGATCGTCTTGAGAAGACAAAAGGGATTCTCGTTCATTTTAGTGAATGGTTGCATAAATGTTTGCACGAACCTCTCTCGATCGAGAAGACTGGGAAGAATACCTATTATATTCTTCTCGAGGACTCTCCTCCTTCGTCTCATCATAGAGAGGCCACGACTTTTGAAAAAATCCTCGAGCAAGAAAAAATAGAATGGTGGAACAACTACCCCATCCCTCTCCCCGAGCATCAAGAGGAGCCTGTTCAGAAGAAAAAGAAAAAACCTTTCCAAAAGCCTATCCTCATCCTCCTCGATAATGATGGGGATGAGGAGAAGCCTGTTCAGATTCCTCTCCGTTTGTCAAAACCCGTCGAGGATGAAAAACCTCTCCCTTCCTCAAAACCCCTTGAGGAAGAGAGACCCCTCGAGAAGGAGAAATCTCTCCCATTGTCAAACCTCCTCGAAGATGAAAAACCTCTCCATTTATCAAGACCCCTCGAGAAGGAGGGACCTCTTCCTTTATCAAACCCCTCGAAGATGAAAAACCTCTCCATTTATCAAGACCCCTCGAAAATGAGGGACCTCTCGATTTGTCAAAACCCCTCGAGGATAAGGGAACCAAAACTTCTCTCTCTTTCGAAAATGAGGGACCTCTCGATTTGTCAAAACCCCTCGAGAATAAGGGAACCAAAACTTCTCTCTCTTTCGAAGAGGAGGGACCTCTCAATTTGTCAAGACCCCTCAAGAATAAGGGAACCGAAAATCCTCTCCCTTTCTCAAGACTTCTCGAGGAGGAGGAGGAGGAGGAGAGACCGCTCCATGTCTCAAGACAGGA